GGGCTCTGTCCCTGCCAGCTTCATTCTGCCCTGGAAATCACACTGTACTCTTGCTGTAACAGTCAGTGACAGATTCCATTATAAGAGCATATATGCCACTTAATCAAACAGCTTCATCGCACTTTATAATGCACTGTATTCACTTTGGGGAACACTATGTGAATACTGATTGGCAAAATTTGGACCATATTCTTATTCTTACTAATTGCAATTTATTTCAGAAATAGACCCAGTGATTTTGCTTTCCCAGCACAGCAATTTTCTGGTTCTCTCTTCAACACTTTCACAGTTATGCCCAACTTCGCTGCTGATCTTCAGTATTCAAGGTAATTGCTGGGTAATAAACTTTTAAATGATCTATCTGCTGGGACTGCGTGTCAGCTGACAGGTATTTTTTAACTCTGAAACACAAAGTCTTTGTTTCTGTACCAGGTACTTACCAAAATCACTCTTGCAATCTATTCATCCTTTAAACCCTGATTCTATTTTTTTCTAGTCATCTGTGTAAGCATCTCACAGAGACATCTTAGCACTGGCATCTGACTCTTGCTGTGTCACTTTGCTGATCCCGTCTCTAAATGTCTCACTATATACTTTATTGCTAGCTATTAATTTTTAAGATAGCTTTATGTTCCTTATTAACACCTTATTTCTCAAAAGATAAAAATGATGCTGTTGCAAACACAGGTTCTGTAGAAATATAACATCTGAACATATGAAAACAAGGACAGAAGCTTGCTTCTGAAGGGTTATATTTCCTTCTCAAATTTTATACACAAACAAGTTTCTCCTTCTTTCCCCATTGTCTATGTTGTTTGGATAACACATATTTCCAATTTATGAAAAATAAACAAATCCCACCAACTAGAGCACTACCATTACTCCAGAGGGTGATGGAGGATATTGGTCTGAGTAATTTTCATGCTTTCAAACTTTCTTTTCACTTCTGAAAGGCAGAATAATGTAGGTCACTTTTAATGAGGAGCCTTGTGTGTGGCTTTCCCCACACACTACACAGCAACCAGGCACTTACAAGTTCATGTTCTCCCTGCACCATCGTTGTATTTTATCATTTTTCAACAGGGTTGACTTTTGCCCACAACGCTGGGGACTTTCGTACGGTGAAGTCTCTTGGCTGCCTCATTAACTCTGAATCAGTGTGTGCCCTTGCATTTCACTGTATAATTTCCTTCAGCATTCATTATGCTGCAGTTTAAACAGCCTCTGGCTAGAAACTTCTTGAAACATCATGATGAAATTACTTTCTTGACAATATACAAGTCAATTACAATGTAATTAAAAGATACACTAATCCATTCCGTTCTTTGGTAATGGTATGTTGGTTAAGATCATCCAGTGCATACTTGGATGGTATCTATGAAACTTTTGCTATAAACTGTAAGTTACTGTCTACAGCCCCTGTTTTCTCTGAAAGATGCGAGAATACCTGTTCTCTTCTAGCAATCATGAGGAATTAAAGCGGTACAAGCTGTTTTCAATATAGGGTCTCCACTCCTCAGTGCTGACTCCCCAGGCATCTCAATGGGGGCTTTTTTTGTCATCGGGCTCAGAGGATTTAGAAGAAACCTGGCATCTGGAAGGCTTACGCTCTTGCTTGCTGCCCTCTATCACATCGGACTCCTGGTTTTCAGCACGAGCCTCTTGCATATTCCTCTGCAAGTGAATAGTTACATTCCCTTGTCTTCACTCTGCTGCCCACTTTTACCCTATTCCCTTTCTGTCCCATTTTCCTCTTTGTTGCAATGTCTGTCTACATGACCTCCACATATACCAGCCAGGCCTTTCTGTCCTTCCCCATCACTTGGCAAATACACGAAGACCTGAAGGCAGCAAAACCAAGCAACAACCCTGCCCCTTTGCCAGCCATCCTCACAAAATGAGTTCCCCACATTCACACCTTTAAATACATGGGCTCAGCAGTTCCCTTATTCCCTCACTTCAGCCCACTCCTAAATCCTCCAACTCTCCTCTGCCCTGCAGCACTCCTCACCCTCCTGTGCCCTGGGGCTCTGGGGAAGAGGGACAAGAACCTGCCAGGATGAAGAGAACAAGGCTACACCTGCTGGAAGAGAGGATGGGGCTGAAAGACAGGGGACTGTGGAGGGTGCAGACCTTCAGGGACAGCAGCAGCAGCCTGAGGAAGCCACTCCTGTGAGAATCACAGCCCATCAGGTTGGTGGTGCCTCAGAAGGAAATTAAATACTCATCAGGTTGACATTACACAGCCAGCCCAGGCTCTGCACAGCAGCAGCACTAACAGGTATCAGCGGCCCAATGCTTCTCTTCGTACTTGCAATTCAACACGCTGCCCACAGAGATACGTTGACTGCTAGAAGTAAATAAAGCTCATGGCAACTGGGTAACAGTGTTTAAGTGAAGCGCCCTGTATTCTTGATCACTTTACAATATTTTTATTGTTATGACATAGTATCAACTTCTGTTGTAAAAAAAAATATCCAAAATGAATCCAACATCTTCATACAAGCTGGATTTCAGTGAGATGCCTCTGCAAGCCAATGTGCATCATATGCGTTTGTCTAAAATAAAGTATTAGAACAGCCTCTCTGCAGTTCGGACAAGGATGGAGAGTTGTAAAAGACACACATCCTTTGTCATCACCTTCCTTCTAGGGCCGGCTCCCTTAATGTACTTGAGCTTCAGCTTTTTTATCTTTAAAACAGAGATAACTTCTGCCTGCAGGGATGATGTGATGCTAATCCATCTGGTATTTGCCAACACATGCAAAACTTTATTCTAATAAGTGAGATATACAGAAAACAGGACACCACCAACTGATACTGTCTGTATTCTTCCTCACGGTCCTACCCAGTTTCATTTTTGGCTTGAAAAATAGGTCAAAACACTAAACAGCAGTTGTTTGAGGGAGAAAGGCAACTTTCAACTTATTTTGGTATAAATGCCCTTCTTTTTCCAAATCAGCATTCTTAAAATGGACAGGCAGGGTAACGGGGGACTCTCCAGAGGTGAGAGTGAAGGCTGCGTCTCTTCTCAACCTGTTCCTTAATCAGCAAAGGTTCAATACAAGAGGAATAATTCATGTGGCCAGCAACTGATTCTTGCTTGGGAAGCCCTGAGGGAGAATTTTAATCATGGAAAGCTCATCTTCATCTAAGACATGCTAAAATGGGCGGGTGGTTCCCTCTAAGTGTCTTTTGGGCAGTTTACAAAGCAAAGCTTGGATGCCCATCTTGTTCTCAGCACACCATTTGCAGTTCTGGCAGAGCCTCTGGCTGAGGGCACACGCTACCCCTGCAGCTTCCCCCTGCCACACACAGTAATTACTTTCTCTTCATTAATTGGTCTTCATGCATGCATGCATGCACATCCATAAATCAAGCAACCCGCTGCTGCGAGTACAGCACTTCTAGCTTGGAAGTCATGCGGGCTGGGGTTTGTAAAGCCAACAGCCCAATACCACCAGCACCAGCTTCACCCAAGCAGGAGCAGGAGCATCCATGGGGTGTAAGCAAATTTCAGGGGGGGGATCAGCTCTGCCCAAGAAGTTGCAGGGATTGTGTGTGCTGACGGCAAACAAAGGCAGCCGGGGCGGTTAGCTGGTGCTTCTGGAAACGAACACACCAGCACAAACAACATGCTGATGGAGACGTATTAAGTTTGTACCCACGTCAATGAAATATTACCATCAATTTCAGCAGGCAGTATGGCTGATTTATAAGCCAATATATAACAAAACATAGCACAGGAGATGTTTGGAACAACAAGTATTCGACATGCACATGACAAATAGAAAATCTTTAGTATGGGATGACTTCTGCAATCTCTCTCCCAGGACAGTGATATTTTAACATCTTCATCCAAACAGAACACAGATAAACAGGCTGTAAACTTGTCTCATTACACTGCGGTTTGTGCTTTGGGAGAAATGACAGATGATTTTTGTACATGAGCAAAATCTTTTAACTTATACCTTTGACTGCGGTCTGCTAGGGGAAAGCAATCACCTCACTAGTTACTTCAGAGGGACTAACCAGAGGGCTAAAATGTGGTATGCAGTAAAAACTGCTGTCTGAGCAACTGATTTGATCCGACTGATCAGGATTCTTACAGGAAACACTTCAGTGAACTATCTGGTAATGAAAAACGGAGAAAGAAAAAACAGTGGTGGTGGGGAAATCTTCCTGCCTAATGTGTCACCTAGGCATGATAAACTCCAGTGCAAAAGCTGAAGAAAATTCAGTGCTACCCTGTAAACAGTTCAACCAGGCAAAAGTGAGTATGCATCTTTTTCAGTGATGTCCAGTGATAGGACAAGGGGCAAAGGGTGTAAACTGGAGCATAGGAGGTTCCGTGTGAACATCAGGAAAAACTTCTTTACTGTGAGAGTGACAGAGCACTGGAACAGGTTGCCCAGGGGGGTTGTGGAGTCTCCCACATTGGAGATAATCAAGGCCCGCCTGGACAAGTTCCTGTGTGATGTACTCTAGGTTACCCTGCTCTTGCAGGCGGGTTGGACTAGATGATCCTTTGAGGTCCCTTCCAACCCTTGGGATTGTGTGATTCTGTGATCTGGCATTTACATTAAAAGCTCTAGTCTGCACATATCAGTCTCCTCATTCCATTTAAAAAGAACATTTTTTTCACCAAAAATGGCCTCAGCCTTATCTATCCAATACAGTGATGGTTTTATACACTGTGCTACAGACTCAGTTTGGACACTTAAAGCTCTTGGCTCATTAAGATCCTGAAGTCAAACTAGTCAGAGATAAAACAAATGAAGTTTGGCAAAATCATTTGTAAGGTGCCCTGTGTTTTTCCTGTATTCACTGCAAATGCCCATTGTGGATTATTGTCCTGAAACCAGGACAGTTATATTTAAAAAGTCAGTATTTATGAACTTAAGAGCTTAATGTAGCCCACCCATGTCCATCTTCAGCCAGGGCTGACAGTCACAATCCTCTCTGCACAGTAAACACACGGGGGTACCATCAGCCTCCTACCTTGGCTCCATCCACACTGATAATCCGATAGCTGTTTCTCGTGCTGTCATAGAAGTAGGAAACAGTTACAGCCTGCTTGCTTGCAGGAACCCAGTTCTTCTTCGTGCTGGGGTCAATTTGGAAGACATGGGCTCTGGTGGTGAAGATGGGCTGTTCTCTGGAATAGGGAGGGACAGGAGAAATGGATGCATGAGTCTGCAGAAGATGAAATGTTTCAGAAGCCCAGCCTTGACCAGGCACGCTGAAAGCACAAGACAAAGAGAACCTGCAATCCCCCAAGTTGAAATGGCAGAGCAGTGACAGTGCTGAGCCATGATCCAGCCATGGGCTGCTCTCCTTGGCATCACTACGTGACACTCAGAGCCCTAAAGTTACTGCTGTAGCCCAGGAGGCAGTTGACTTTTCTCCCCATGTTATGCTAACTTGGTACCCACCTTTTCCTCCAAATATTTATTTCCAGGAAAGGACACTCGCATGCATTCTTTCTTTCCCCATTCACATATTGTGCCAAAAGCAATAACAAGTCCCCCTTGGATGGATTTCCTCCTGCCATGCATTCCTGTGAACCACTACCTACAGCCAGGGCTCCTCTGTGGATGCACCAAGGACTCCAGCAACCTACAGGCACAGTATAATTGCTGAAATATTAATCTCTATCCTTAGTATCCCACTGTTCCGTGGATGCACATGAAAATTTCATCAGAGGCAAAAGCAGTCAATCATCCTGGTGAGTGAGGGAGGAAAGAAATACAAGCAAAACCCTGTGTTGATACATACTGCCTTTCAGTTCAACTCAGTGGATGATACACTGCCCCAGATGCCCCGTTCCTGAACACCAATCCTCCTTGAATGCTTCTTCTCATCAAGAAAATTGTGCTCACAGTGGAGAGGTTTTGTTTTACCTTCAATGTGTGACAATGCAAATCACACATCACGGCAGAGAAGATGCAGGACCAAAAGAACAAAATATGATACACATAAAGTCTTCTGGGTTGAAGATCAGAATTAAGACTTACTTAAAGGCCATAAAACTAAATTCACTTCCAACTGTACCTTTAATCCAAATTTAGAAGTAGAAATGAACTGCAAAGCAAGCTCTACTGTGCTTTTATATACATTTTTATGCTTTCAGTTCTTAAAAGCTACAGTATATAATGGCCTACATTAACGGTACCGCTCAATATATTCTTACCACATGTGAAATACTGTATCATGAATAGTTACTCCTGACAGAATTATAACAGGATTCAAACCCTACTGTACTACAATAGAGTTACCGCCCAAAAAATGTTTACCACATGGAAACTGAAAAGGCTGCCAGGCTGAATTTTGCACAAAGCAAATGAGAAGAGGTAGGTGAAAGGCCAGAGAGACCTCATGCTCTCATATGCTATTCTTTCCTATTCATATGAATAATTACCTTCTATTATTCTCAGTCCCATAGTTTTGGAACTATGTGTTTATTAAGATTTCTTCAGCTCCCTGTATATCCACCTGTGCTTCTGCAGAACAGAACAACTTCAGGTACTGCACATGCAACGGGATCAAACATCGGTGGGAGTAAATTTATGAATATCAAACAGATGAAGTGATTTAAGAGTACAATTAGCTCCGGAAAGACGGAGTGAACTGGCAAAGCCCAGCAAGTCCTCAGGAGGGAGAAAATGAAGCAAGGGTTTCCTCCTTGTAAGACATATGCAAGGTTTTACATTCTTCCAGGGGTTGCCATGCAAGCTTCTGGATGGACAGCAGTGCCGAACCCTGAACAATACTGCAATGACATAAACTGAAACTACAAGGAGACTGTCACATTACAGCTGCAAAACAGCAGCAGTTGCTTCTGCTCTTCCTTATCAGTAATTCACTGAACCCGACTCTCGTTTCACATGCTAAAATCGATGCTGTCCTCAGCTGGGAGGAAAGAAGGAGCAGGTCTCTGTAACGTTTAAGAAATGTTTCCATCACCCATTACACAGGATTAGCAGCGTAACACCCACAAAGGTCACAGAGTTTGTTTGCAATAAGGAATGAAGGGAAGGGCTTTTTCCCCCAGGCCACTTACTCTTCCACTCTAAAAATATGCACTTCCCTGAGTGAAGAAAAATCTTGACTTATTTTGCCTTTTACTTAACTCTGCATTTTTAGTAGATTCTATACTAATAGTTTCTGCTAATGGCAATACAACCTATATATCGCAGTCTAAACTTTCAGAAGTTTCCTCCATGCAAATCTATTCCACAAACAACTTTAACTCTGTTAACTCACCTTAACAACACCAGAAAACACTGCTGAAACTATAGCTGGCCTCTCTGCAGCAGGAGCTGTAACCATACAAAGTAAATCTGGACATAAGAATAGAATGAAGTGAAAAACTATCTCCAGTTTTTAAGGAGTTTTGTAGCAGTGACTGTTGCCAACAGGAGCCGTATACATGCATCCTAGAGGATAAATTAATGGATAATGAAGCTCAGGGCTTGAGATAGCCATCTATCTATTCATGTGGGGCTTTTATTAAAAAGTAAAGGCAAAACCTAACTATGTTTCTAATTCTCATGATTATTAAGCCAAAAAAATGAGTGCATTTTGTCTTCCTGGGTGCAAACAGCAGCCCTATCACTCACAGTGATAGTGCGCTAGTTGATGAATTATTAAGAAAAAGGAAATGTGATGTGTAAACTTAGGCATTTTAACTCATTCAAGATAAATGAGCTGTTGACCTTCCATCAAGACTAAATTTGAAGGGCCAGTTGGTTGATCTCCACGTATGCCTTTGACCTTTCTGCCATAGGTGGCTACAAAGCAGCAAAGCCCCAAGACTGATTTTTGAGCCCCTGGAGCAGAGTCACCCCCAGGACACAACCTCCTGGAAGGATTTCACAGTTTTGCTCACAATAACCAAGAAAAGAAGCTGCATTTCTGCAGCTGTGTCTGCTCTGCGGCCGAATCCACTTGCAGGTTTGCACTCAGCTGTTACCCTAAAGAGCCCAAACCCATCAGCAAGGCCCATGAGTGGCACTTACCAGCACTGGGAGCCGGTGCCACCATGCTTTCCCTCACACCACAGAAGGACAGCAAAGCCAGCAGCACTGACAAACTCCATTGGTTCAGCTTTATAACACGGGGGTGGTGGAATATCCTCCTTCATTGCATCCCAAACTCCTTAGACCAGTGAAGCACACACAGAGGCAACTCTGTAACTGTGGCACTCAATTTTCAAATGAAACACTGAATTAGATGCTTTAAAGCATTTAACCTCACAGAACTCAAAATTGAGAAGGATTATTCTTGTGTTATTTGCTTGCAACTTCTGACATTCAAGAAATCACTTTACTGATAGAATATTAACTTTGTTTTCCAGGGTTTCTTTCCTTTTCATTTTATCATTTCATTTTATGCTTAAAACCACAGCAATGCTAACTCGAAATCCCCACAGCACACCCGGTGTGGTTTGAGCCCCTGTAAGCTGCTCCTTACATGAGACTGCCAGTTTGCCTGGGGAGGCAGGGAGCAGTGGCTCTGCCAGCCAGGCTACAGACTCATAAATCACAAGACAAAGAGAATTTATGAATGTTTAAAATCTCATTAATTTTAACCAAAGTTGTTAATGATTGATTAAATACTCTTATTAAAAAAATGCGTTTAAAAATCATTTTGACAGTTAACATCCACTGTTTGGAGTAAAGCTGCTTGAAAGGCAGCAAATGGAGACCTAAATTATAGCTAATAAATCTGAATTATTAAACACAGAACAAAACAGAAAATTCACTTTTATAAGCTTTTTAAATTATTGACTATCTAGAGATAACCAATTGCACCCACAGCTGTGTGAGATACAGTATCACTTTCTGGTTAATATACAACCATGCCAAATGTTACAAGCGCATGACTAGCTGCAAGCCATGCGTTCTATATTGCTCTTCTTAATCAGAGGGAATGAGCTCTCACTTAGGAAAAGTTCAAATTATTTAATTCAAAGTTCCTTGTTTACCATTTGAATCATGAGCACAACCAGTGATTTAAATCACTTCAGCTGTCAAGAGCCTTTGCTGAGTGGCAGCCAGCATTGTACAGGCTGTGGGATATTGGTGGCTGATGGAGTCGTGGCACATGGCTGGTGGCCAGCCAGCATTCAGGAGAGCCCCAGGGCCAGCCATGTGTGGGGCTGCACAGAGCTGGCTCCGAACAAGGCACTGATGATGTGAACACTTCTCTATTGGAGCAATCTTTTCCGGTAGTAAATACACAACACAGTGACTCACTGGGTGCCTGCGGGATCAGCACCCAAGTACTTTTAAATGTGCAAAGTGTCCAGTGCGCATCTGGTAGATGCACTGACCAAGCTGTAAATAGAACAAAGCAGCTCCTTTACTTGCTGTAGGATCTGGAACATCAAACGTATTAGTGACAGGAGCCACTATTTGTACATTTTGCTAAAACTTTCATGAACAGATCACATAGAATAATTTCTGGGATAAGGATTCCTGCTTTTCAGGACAGGATTATTTGTACTCTCCCCACACTAACACTAGGCAGCTTTGCATTAACTGCCTAATTTACCAATTGGAATAAACATATTTTTTAAAAGAACACGTCCTCATACAGCTGCTATTTGGTGGAGGAGGCACTTGCCTGCAGAAAGTGCATCAGTCTGAGTTTGGAACGTGGTGCTTCCTGCTACGGGCCAGCATCATGCACGCGCTCAAGTTTATAATACCTGACAGTGCCAGCAGATTTGCAGTGATTTGCTGTAACAAGTATTAGATAATGACGCTCTTTCAAGAAAGCAAAAGACTAGGCACAAACACAAAATCCCACATTGTGACACCCTCCCATCACTGGTCGCAACACAAAACATTTTATTTGCTAAACACACCATGAAAACTTTGGTGTCAGTAGTTATCTGGATTGATCATCGCTACTACTGCCTGACAGTGCAAAGAAGAGAACTAATCCTTTATGTATATCTTATCATAGAATCATAGAATAGTTAGGGTTGGAAAGGACCTTAAGATCATCAAGTTCCAACCCCCCTGCCATGGGCAGGGACACCTCGCACTAAACCATATCACTCAAGGCTTCGTCCAACCTGGCCTTGAACACTGCTAGGGATGGAGCATTCACAGCCTCCTTGGGCAACCCATTCCAGTGCCTCACCAC